GGAAGCGGCAGCGTGCGGGTCTGTCTGCTGCACCGGGAGTGCCCCGCGGGCCGTGCGGGGTCGCCGGTGGCCGCACGGAGCGGAGGAGGAGGAGGAGGAGGAGGAGGGGTGGCCCGCCGGGGCTCGGAGGTGCGGTGACCGCGGTTCCTTTGCGGGAATTGGGGGGGACGGGGGGTCTCCGGTCCCGGGAGAAGGTGCCGGGCGGCCCCTCGCCCCGCAGAGGGACGGCGGAACCGCCCCGTCCAGGAGGACCCTTTCCCTCACCGGGGGAAGCCATCACCGCTGCCTCTGCTCGCAGGGCTGTGAGTGTTTTGGAAAAAGATGTCAGAAGGGCAATGCGAAGTTAAGGAGCTTCATGTAGACCACTTAAAAGAAGTTCACGTTGATGGAAAAGAGGGGGGTATCCCGTGTAACACGATATAGGATCAACATGCCCACTTGTGGATACACCTATTTGTCGGTGTCCACGTATGAAAATCACAAGAGGTAAGACAACAATCTACAGCCACCTCTTCCTCTCTTCTGTGGTCTGACATCTGGTTTGGGCCACACTTTGAGGGGATGAAAAACGACTAACAAGATGCCAAAGGAAAAAGATACTAAAATGCAAAACATTTTTATGGACTGGAACTAAACCCAGCATACCCCCCCTCTCTTGACTCCAGCAGCCACATGTTCTGATCTTACCTCTCGGGTTTTTTCCAGTCAGAAGAAATACTGTGTTTACTGTAGACCACCAGGGGCTGAGGTGGCTGTTCAGAGAATTTCACATGGAAAATCTCAAAGCGTGTTGTGCATGGGGGGGACAATCCTCACCGACCACCCTGGGGAACGTGGAGAGGGTCCCATCACATCTTCTGCGGTGTGTTTGTGCAGGCTGGAGACACTGAGACACGGGAGGGGAGGCACAGGAGAGGAGGTCGGGGAGCTCTGTGGCCCCAGGTATCCCGAACTCACGCCTGATCCAAGGTCATTTATTGCAGCTGGAACCAGGACTAAGAGTCTCTGGGCTGAGCTCTGTGCTCATGAAGCCCACCCAGGTCTCGATCCAAGAAGATGCTCTGCTGGAGAAGCCAGCAGTGGAACCATAAAGAGGAATTCTCATACAATATTATCGATGCACAGAATAAGGGATTGCATTTCTGCAATTTTTATCATTCCAGATTAAGGAGGGATCATTTAACGTCCAAAAATCAGGAATTTGCGGGTGGGTTCTAGACAATGATTTTGGTCATTCAGTGGTCATACGTGACTCATTGAAACTCAAAGTAAGAAAGAGTTGACTTGTGTAGGTTTTCAGCTTAGAAGGAGTGATCAGGATGAGAAATTGTTAAAATATCTTGCTCAGACATTTTCACACGGAATACCTTTTTCCTTTAAAAATGCTGTTACAGGTACCAGAAAGTGACCTATAATAAAAATGTATAAAGGCTAACATAAAAGGAAATGTTCAGAATGTGTCTCCGTGTTTTTGCTGGGGTAAGTCTACTTCACCATATTTTCAGTTTACAAGTATTTCTTCAAGTGCTGCCTTTTCACGGTGATTTAGGATGGGAATACTTTTGGCCACAAAAAATTGTTCTGGTCAGAAAAGCCCTTCTTTGTTCCTAGTCCACCATGGTCATTCTGTTTCTTCTGCTTGGTCACAGCATTGGAGTAAAGCAAGAAATCATTGTAAACAGAAACTCCTTTAACACCAGGTGCCCTCTCCCAACCTCAGATCAATCACACGATGTGCAATTAAACTGTCATCCTAAGACACAGGGCTACAGGGACGAGAAAACGCTGAAACCCAAACCCCAACAACCTTAAGAACTGACAGGGGTTCAAATTTGCCACACATTTATGACACCTGCATTTTGCCTCACAGTTTTGATATTGCCAGCCGTTTGCAGGGGCTGTATGTGTTACGCTGGAGGAATGCTCTGTCCTTCATCAACGGACCTCTTTTCTGTTTCCCAGTGTTTCTGCAGGAGGAGGGAAGGGCATGTCCACCCCATCATGAGCCTGGTGCTTCCCTCTGCTGCGCAGCCAAGACAAAGCACGGGTGTGCAGAAACTGTCTCCTGAGGTCCTGGTCTACTGAAATGTTTCTGTGGGCCCCTCTGGAGTGTGCCGCCCTGGCATCAACACTGTGTGTAAGATAAATCTTATAAAAAGATCCATGGTAGATGGGTGAGTCATTTTATGCTAAGAAAAATATATAAATTTTCATTTTAGACAATTAAATATTAGTCACAGTTAAATGTCTTTGGGGAATATTTGCTGTTGCCAGGAATTTTCTGCTTTTCCCACTCCCCTCTTCCTCAACATACACCACCCATGAAATGCCTAGTTTTGCGTTGCATCCTGGAAGAATCTTTGCTTGGGGTTTTTTCCAGAAAGCTTTGATGTTTATCTGGGAAATCGGGAGATGCGGGATGGACCTCGCTGGTTCCACTTCTCATTTTTTGTGCTTTGTAACTGGTGGTGGCTGAGGCAGCGAAGGTTTGGCAACGGGATCCGCTGTGAGCTGGGTGTGTCTTGGGAAGCAATTAAGAGTAAGGAAACACTGGCACCCACCAGCCTGGAAGTAGGGGATGATTTATGGCGCTGCCTGGTGATGCCAGGGCTTTCTGAGTTTGTTCTGCTGTTGTGACAGCTGCTACGGAGAGGAGAGGATGGTTTTGGCCAAGGTGAGGGAAACTGAAGAGGCTTCCTGAGGCTCAGGGTGTCCTGAAATTCTCTGGTTGGTGTGTAGGTTTGAGGTGCAAAACAGAGACATTGGAGCCAGAGCATCCATCTGTTCCTCTGCCGGGAAAGCAGAACCGAGAGGGCTATGGAGGAAGCTCTGACTCTCACGCCTTGCTTAGGGTGAAGTCAATCCTTCCTGATTTCCTGGAAACACATCAAGGTGTTGTTTCCCACACAGTTCATGGGACGGGGGGAAGATGAAGATGGGTTCATGGGTAAACAGAAGATGGTGTTAAGAAATTCCTTCCTGTCTCAGAACTGATTGTTTCTGCTTGATTTCAGGTTGCCCCTCTATGAAACCCAAATGTTTCAGGGACACAGGCAAAAAGGTGACAAAGCATTTCCTGAGCTGGGGAGAGGTAAACATGACTTCACCTGGGGAACAGCTTCTCTGCACCGTGCTGGGATGAGATCCCTTAGCAGGGACATTTGGTATACGTGTCTGTTTTCACACCTCGTATGAAAGAAGCTGGGCTCCTTGGACACAGCCAAAGCAGGAAAGAATATGTGTTATGGAGCAGTGTTCAAAATGCTGTTTTCTGGGAGAAAACCAATCAGACCTCTACAAAGGAGCACGCTGCTGTGATTCCTTCTGCCGTCTAACAGGCCAGCAGGAGACACCTCTTGTGCACCCTCTAGTGGAAGTTCTCCACAACTACACCGTCACAACCCAGAGACCATGTGCAGCAGGGACAATGGCTGTGATACTCACCCCCTTCAAATAGCACTGAAACTCTCTCCTGGCCTGTCCCTGTGCCCAGATTGTTGTCATTTTAAGGACAGGATCTTTTAACTATCCCTAGAAGGGTTCCTGCTCCTTAGGGGAGGAAAAGGTTAAAAAAAAGGCCAATCACATATCTCCTCCGGTCAGGGACTTCTGTGAGCATCCTTGGGGACGAGGATCTCCTGTGCCACTGGCAGTCACGTGGACTGACCCTGGGTTGTCCTGTCCAGCCACCTCTTGTTTACAGGCAGGATGGGATGGGTTTGTCTAAGGAGATTTGCATTTCCACTATGTACAGAATTTATGGAGCCCTGGAATACTCGGTTCTCCTACTTGTCTCTGCCAGGGTTAAATCTCTGTAAGATGAGGCTCTTCCTTCGCAACTGTGCATTTCCATTCCTACCTGATTTTTCACAAATTTGGAAATATACTATGTAGCAATTTTAGAATCATACAATCATTCAGATTAAGACCTTTAAGGTTATTGAGTCCAACCATGAACCTAACACTGCCATGTCCATGCCCCTAAGTGCCACACCTATGCCTCTTCTAAACACCTGCAGGGATGGTGACTCAACCACTTCCCTGGGCAGCGTGTCCCAATGCTTGACAACCCTTTTGCTGAAGAAATTTTTCCTGCCTTTTGCTCTGGTGTTTGGAGCACACAATACCACTGGATGTCAAGACATATGTCAATAGGGACAGAAAGAAGGGAGGAAGAGAGGAGAAGAGGGAGGGGGGAGAGAAAGAAGAAAAGTGAGGGAGAAAGAAAGGGAAGGAGGAAAGCAAGGAAAGAGGGAAGGAAGGAAAAAAGAAAGAAAGAAAGAGAGGACAGGAGGGGACAGAGCAGGGAAAGAAGCCTGCGTGCTGGGTTTGGGAAGCTTGAGAAGTGCCCAGCCTGCTCCACATGGACAAGTGCTGTTCCGTCACCTGGGATGCAGGTGGCCTTTGTTGGCTGCTGTCCCCAGCAGGGGGGAGGGAGGGACAGGGAAAGAAACCTGCATGTTGGGTTTGGGAAGCTTGAGAAGTGCCCAGCCTGCTCCACATGGACAAGTGCTGTTCCGTCACCTGGGATGCAGGTGGCCTTTGTTGGCTGCTGTCCCCAGCAGGGCTCTGCTGTGTAATCTCCACATGGCAGCTGTAATTCACACCAGAATCCACTCCCTCTAACGCATATTGGCACACCCATGTATGGCGGGATAAGTTGTGCCCCTCATTCCAGAAGAGGTCTGGATGTATTGAAATGCCATGGAAAAAACCCCAGCCTATTGTAATGTACAGGTTCCACTCCCATAAACAGCCCCAAGGCCATGGGTCCCCCTGCAGCCTCCCATCTTCTCCCCAACAAATCCTGCTGCAGCCGCTCACCCACAGCACAGCCGGTGCCGAGGGCAGAGTGGGCAGGAGGGGAAGCTGGTTTGGCCACAGGTCCCATGGGGACCCAAGTGGCCATCACCCCTGCTCTCTGCTGTCTGCCCCTGTGGCCCCCGCCTGGTCCCAGTGACACCAGAGCCATCCCCAGCTCTGACCACTGGGATGGAGCCCCCTTGTAGCCCTGGACCCTGCTGTGGGGTGTCGGTGTGGGGACAGTGAGGAGAGGTTGCCCCAACCCCAGGTGTGCCTGAGGGCCCTGTCAGGGGCTGCCTCTCCCAGCTGGGTGCAGTGGGATGCACGCCAGAGGCTGGAGGACTCCCACCGCTGGCAGGAAGGACCGGTGTGTAAACGGGGAGGGTGATCAAGCTCTTCTCCCAGGGACAGCTCGCCAGCGTGAAGCACTGCCCCGGCTGGGAGTGGAGGTCTGTGGTTGCCACCCTGGGCAGAGGGACCTGCCACTGCTGCTTCCCCCAGCTCCTCGTGGGGCTGGGAGACTGCGGGGCTGCTGGAGGAGGCTGGGCAGGGGCCAGGAGTGCCTTCCCTCAATCTTTCTCTTCAGGGCTGCTCTCAACCCTTTTGCTGCCCAGCCTAGAGTTGTTCTTGGAATGGACTAAGGTGCAAGCCCTTGCGCTTGGCCTGGCTGAACTTCATGAGGTTCACACGGGCCTACCTCTCAAGCCTGTCCGGGTTCCTCTGAATGGAGTCCCTTCCCTCCAGCATGTCAACCGCGCCACACAGCTTGGTGTCGTCAGGTGAGGGTGCAGTTGCTGAAGGTACACTCAGTCCCACTGTCCATGTGTCCAACAGCGCTTCTCCCAGTACTGACCCCTGAGGAACACCACTCATCACTGGTCACCATTTGGACATCGAGCTGTTAACTGTGGCCATCCAGCCAGTGCTCCATCCCCTGAGTGGTCCATCTGTCAAATCCATGTCTTTCCAATGCAGAGGGTAGGATGTTGTGTGGGACAGTGTCAACTGCTTTGCATAAATCCAGGGAAATGACGTCTGTTGCTCTCTGCTTATCTACCAAGGCTGTAAGACCACTGGAAAGGTCCACCAAATTTGTCAGGTATGACTTACCCTTGGTCATCTCCTTATTTTCCACGTGTTGTAGCAGAGATTCCAGTATTTCCTCCATGACCTTGACAGGCACAGAGGTGAGACTGAGTGGCCTGTAGTTCCCCAGCTCTTCCTTTTTAGCGTTTTTGGAAGTGGGGGTTATGCTTCCCCTCCTCCAGTCAGTGGGAACTTCTCCAGGCCACCACGACTTCTCAAATAGCATGGAAAGCAGCTTAGCAACTTCATCTGCAGAAGAATATCATGTACTTCTTTTTCACATGTATAACCCATTTGCTGAAACCAGAGCCTGAATAATCAGGATGCCTCTACCATTTTCTTACCTTTGCACCTGAATTTGGGCAGCATGGAGGGCCCTGAACACTGTCAACATCTGAAAGAGTGTGGCAGATGGGATGCCATAGCAGTTTTGGGTCAGTTTTGTTTCACCTGTCCTGTCCCCTTCTCCCCACAGGTGCCAAGCCTCCATGGGGAAAACAAGCGAGTCAGCTGGCCCTGACTGCCACAGCAACAAGGATAAACAAGAGCATCTCGCACTCAACAGGATGTTGGCTCTGCTCCACCCCAAACCACCACACTTCCTAGAAAGAATATGGAACTTAACCACTGATAAGAGGATACATAGATTTTGGAGAGACAACATTAGGACACCCTTTCAAATGCTGCCATTTGATGTGGCTTAAGAGTGTGTGTTTGAATCCGTAACGCAGGAGAAACGTTTTCCTCAGTACACGAGTTGACCGGATCCACTGTACACCTGCTCCAGAGCGGTGGTTCTTTGCAGTACTAGGGTCCACCTGGACGCATTTGCCTTGAACCCAGGATGGTAAGGAAACTCCCTGGCTGTACAACTATCCTGTTCCCCACAGGTCCTCTTTGGCTGACAGTGTTCTCTGCGATTCAGAGGAGCACCTTGGTTCTGTGTTCTTTGCCCCTGGTTCACTCAGCAAGTTAGGAACGTGGACAGTGGATAACAGACCATGCCACAGGACCACAGAAGAGCTCAGGTCCAAAGGAGCCTTGGGAGGCCTCTGGTCCAACCTCCTGCCCAAAGCAGGGTCAGACGTGGGCTCGCACCAGGGGATCCTGGGCTATTGCCAGATGGGGCTTGAAACCCTCCAGGCATGGAGATGGCAACCTGCCCCACTGCCATACTGCCCTCATGGGGAAGGGTGGTCCCTGGTCTCCCGCCTGAACTCCCCAGTTTCAGCTGTTGCTGTGCAACAGGGGACGGATGGCCCACTGTGACATCACTGTGTCACGGAGGGTGATGGAACCCCGTGGTGGATTGCGACCTCATGTCCCTGGCTGCTTATCTTGGGGCGCCGGCAGAGCCTGGGCCAGCCTGGCTCGTGCCTGGACTCCTGCCGAGCGTGCCTGCCAGGCGTGGAGGGGCGAGCGAGGCTTCTCCTGGTGCTGGGTGGTGCTTTGGGGGCTGCCATCGGCAGCTCTCGGGGCCTGTCCCGGAGCCACCCGCTGTGTTTCCCCGGCCCTGCCTGCTTCAGGCAGCCGGACACCGCGGGACGCACTCACGCAGTGGAGGTGAGCTGTGGGGGCAACATCCCCCTGGGCTGGCGGTGGGGTGGGTCATGGGCCTTGGGGTGCCAGCAGGGTGTCTTTCTCCAGGGACTTGGGCACATCTTCCTGGCACAGCAAATGAGCATGGCCTCTCTCCATTCCGCAGTGCTCAACACCCTTTGGCAGAGCTGTCACCAGGGAGGAGGAGCAGCTTCTCAGCCTCAGCTCTCCCCATCCTGCCGTGGAGCACAAACATGGCCACCCAGACAGAGTGGAGCTGCCCCATCTGCTGCGGTACTGAAGATGGCATCGCCCATGTGACCCCCTGTCACCACCAGTTCTGCCTGGGATGCATCATACGGTGGGCAGAAAGGACATCAAATTGCCCACTCTGTCGAAGACCCATCGAGGAGGTCAAGTTCTCCATGCGGGGAGAAGACGACTATCTCAAGTGTGTCCTCGCGTCCTCAGAAGAGTCACCACAGGACAACAGCCAAGCAGGCAGAAGAGCTCCCAGATTCCCAACCAACAGCAGCCTCCATCAGGCTGCTCCATCCCCTCCGTCCTCTCCACAGGAGCCGGTGTTCCAGGAGGAGCAGGGGGCCGCTGGGACAGAGGCCAGGGATACCAGGAGTGGCCTCCTGCCCAATGTCTGGGCAGAACTTTTCCGGCGATACAAGCCTCTCCTCAACCCTGTGCTGCCCTGGCTTCGTCGGCAGCTGGAGGCAATCTTTGGGGAGCAGTGGTGGCTGGCCGCTGGAGCAGAAAGCCTGTTCCTGCACACCCTGTGCTTCCACGGGCTGGATGAGGAGGCCATTGTCCAGCAAATGGAGCCTAGCCTGGGAGCACATGCAGAAGCACTGGTCCATGACTTCATCACCGTCATCATGCGTCGGTGCAGTGTGGGGGCCTGGAGGATACTGCACTACCTTGCTGCTGGGGAGCAGGATGACAGCCATCCAGCCAACTCCAGCTCCAGCAGCTCCAGCTCCACCAGCTTCAGTAGCTCCCAAGAGGAGACTTCCAGTCCCCACCCAGCCTCCTCCAGCAGCCCTGCAGACTCTCAAGTGCACCCCAGCACGTTGGAGGCCGCTCTGCAGAGGGCTTTCCGCCGCCCTCCATCCATGCCTGTCCCTGTGGAGCAGGAGCAGCCCCAGGAAGAGCCGGAGGAGGCGGTGGCAGGTCCCTCTGCCCAGGGCCGCAGCTCCAGACCCTCCGCTCCCAGCCGGGGCAGGGGCCGCTCACGCAGGGGGCCTCGGCGGCCCCCAGAAAGAAGGGCCTCCAGCCCTCAGGACTGTCCCCAGCCCCCCAAGAGGCCGCCCCGCCGGCGGCACTAGCTGGGGATCCAGCAGCCCTGCATTCCGGACAAAGGAAATAAAATTCCATTTCCCTGACATGGTGGCTGGGTCCTGCTTTCTGACCCTTCTCCTCCTGCCTCTCCATCCACCCTGCAGCCCACCACAGGGGGCACCACCCTGCTGGGGGCATGGCCATGGGCCTCCATAGCCCCTGGGCCTGTCGGCGGCACCTCCTCCCCTACAAATCCTGCTGCAGCCGCTCACCCACAGCACAGCCGGTGCCGAGGGCAGAGTGGGCAGGAGGGGAAGCTGGTTTGGCCACAGGTCCCATGGGGACCCAAGTGGCCATCACCCCTGCTCTCTGCTGTCTGCCCCTGTGGCCCCCGCCTGGTCCCAGTGACACCAGAGCCATCCCCAGCTCTGACCACTGGGATGGAGCCCCCTTGTAGCCCTGGACCCTGCTGTGGGGTGTCGGTGTGGGGACAGTGAGGAGAGGTTGCCCCAACCCCAGGTGTGCCTGAGGGCCCTGTCAGGGGCTGCCTCTCCCAGCTGGGTGCAGTGGGATGCACGCCAGAGGCTGGAGGACTCCCACCGCTGGCAGGAAGGACCGGTGTGTAAACAGTGAGGGTGATAAAGCTCTTCTCCCAGGGGCAGCTCGCCAGCGTGAAGCACTGCTAAAGTAATGCCAAAATTCTCGTGGGGAAGCAAATTCTTGTGTCTAATTTTGCAGCTGAGCTTTCTACCGCCATTCAGGTCATTTCAGTCTGATCCTTTGTCAATATCTCTTCATTCAGTTACAACAACCCCCTGCAGTGCTACAGGCTTGGGGAAGAGTGGCTGGAAAGTTGCCCAGCAGAAAAGGACCTGGGAGTGTTGGTGGGCAGCCGGCTTAACATGAGCCAGCAGTGTTCCCAGGTGGCCAAGAAGGCCAATGGCATCCTGGCCTGTATCAGGAATAGCATGGCCAGCAGGAGTAGGGAAGTCATCGTGCCTCTGTACTGGGCACTGGTGAGGCCTCACCTCGAGGGCTGGGTTCAGTTTTGGGCCCCTCACTACAAGAAAGACATTGAGGGGCTGGAGCGTGTCCAGAGGAGAGCCACCAAGCTGGTGAGAGGTCTGGAGAGCAAGTCATACAAGGAGAGGCTGAGGGAACTGGGCATGTTTAGTTTGGAAAAGAGGAGGCTGAGGGGAGACCTTATTGCTCTCTACAACTACCTGAAAGGAGGTTGTAGAGAGGTGGGGTTGGCCTCTTCTCCCAAGGGAATAATGACAGGACCAGAGGAAATGGTCTAAAGTTGTGGCAGGGGAGGTTTAGATTAGATATGAGGAAGAATTACTTCACTGAGAAAGTGGTCAGGCACTGGAGGAGTGCCCAGGGAGGTGGTGGAGTCACCATCCCTGGAGGTATTTAAGAAACGTGTAGATGTGGCACTTGGGGGCATGCTCTAGTGCCCAAGATTATTGGTTTGTGGGTGGGTGTGATATGGTGGGGTGTTGTGTTTTTTGTTTTGTTGTTGGTGTTTGTTTTTTTGTTTGTTTTTTTTTTGTGGGGTTTTTTAAGGTTGTACTCAATGATCTCAGAGGTCCCTTCCAACCATGGTGATTCTGTGATTTCTGTGGTGGGAATTCATCAGTCCTTCCAAAACAGCTTTACTGGAGAGAGAAAAGGTCAGCCTTGTGGTTCACTGTTGCACTCCAGTCCCTAGGAAATAATCATCTCTGGTCACTACCCACCTTCTGTCAGAAATGAAAGATGAAAGACCAAAACTTCGACAGCTGTGACAGTGGCCCAAAGAGAAGACAGGTCAGGGCAAAATAACAAGAATTATTATTGTGTTGGCAGATCTGTTACCAGGTGGGTTTAAAAAAAAGGACCCTAGAAGGTCTGAAAATTGCTCATCTGACAATCAGGGAGGGGAAGGTGGAGACAAAGGAAGAGTAGAAACATCAAAGGAAGGATGTACAGCACTTGAAAGTAGCATAAAAAGGAGTAAGTGGATAAAATAATGAAAAAGTCAATTTAAGCTGATATTTACCATATATAATCCAGAGAGCTTGAGTTCTGCTATTGTCAATAAAATGAGTTGTGATGAGCTTGCCACCCCCAGAGCTTGTCTTTGCAGCCCATGGAGTGTGACAAGGCAGGAACCTCTCCAAGGAGGGCAGATGTTTGTCCTCCTGCAGGTGTCTGTGCCTGTGCTTGAGGGTTCAAATACGTGTGCGTGGAGCTCAGCTTCAGTCATCTTTCAGAGCAGTGAAGAAGCCAGGGGTGGAAGGGAGCAACCCACCAAGCCAGGGGTTGGATAATCCTGTGATTTTCGCGGGTTCTAGTCCTTCTCTCTTGAAGAGCTGCTGACAGCACCGGTTTTTCAGCGATGGCATCTGGCAGCTACTGCACTGGAGGGGTGAGTATCACAGCCATTGTCCCTGCTGCACATGGTCTCTGGGTTGTGACGGTGTAGTTGTGGAGAACTTCCACTAGAGGGTGCACAAGAGGTGTCTCCTGCTGGCCTGTTAGACGGCAGAAGGAATCACAGCAGCGTGCTCCTTTGTAGAGGTCTGATTGGTTTTCTCCCAGAAAACAGCATTTTGAACACTGCTCCATAACACATATTCTTTCCTGCTTTGGCTGTGTCCAAGGAGCCCAGCTTCTTTCATACGAGGTGTGAAAACAGACACGTATACCAAATGTCCCTGCTAAGGGATCTCATCCCAGCATGGCGCAGAGAAGCTGTTCCCCAGGTGAAGCACTGCTTACACCCGGGGAAATGTTTCGTCACCTTCCTGCCTGTGTCCCTGAAACACTTGGGTTTCAGAGAGGGATGAGCTGAAACCAAGAAGGGGGGATTGGTTTGACAGAGGAAGGAGTTTCTTAACACCATCCTCTCTTTACACAGGAACCTGCACTCGGCCTCCCTCAGTCCCATGAGCTGTGTGGGAAACAACACCTTGATGTGTTTCCAGGAAATCAGGAAGGATTGACTTCACCCTAAGCAAGGTGTGAGAGTCAGAGCTTCTTCCATAGCCCTCTTGGCTCTGCTTTCCCGGCTGAGGAACAGATGGATGCTCTGGCTCCAATGTCTCTGTTTTGCACCTCAAACCTACACACCAACCAGAGAATTTCAGGACACCCTGAGCCTCAGGAAGCTCAGTTTCCCTCATCTTGGCAATCCCTTATTCTCTGCATGGATAATATTGTATGAGAATTCCTCTTTATGGTTCCACTGCTGGCTTCTCCAGCAGAGCATCTTCTTGGATCAAGACCTGGGTGGGCTTCATGAGCGCAGAGCTCAGCCCAGAGACTCTTAGTCCTGGTTCCAGCTGCAATAAATGACCTTGGATCAGGCGTGAGTTCGGGATACCTGGGGCCACAGAGCTCCCCGACCTGTGAAGGCTTTGGGAATGGCTGGTCCCACACAGCACATGATGGCACCTGGCCCTGGAGCTCAGTACTGGCAGGGGACTGGGTTAACCCCTCGGGCTGTGCGGGGCTGGACACCAGTGGTGCGGGGGACAAGGTCAGCTCCTGGCAAAGGGGATATGCATCAGGAGCTTATGGTTGTGTTGGACCTTCTTGTGAATTTATCACGTCTCCTGTTGCTGAGCTAAGGAGGATCCCTCCATGGAAACAAAGTCCTCTCCTGTGCCTCCCCTCCCGTGTCTCAGTGTCTCCAGCCTGCACAAACACACCGCAGAAGATGTGATGGGACCCTCTCCACATTCCCTGGGGTGGTCGGTGAGGATCATGCCCTGCATGCACAACACGCTTTGAGATTTTCTGTGTGAAATTCCCTGAACAGCCACCTCAGCCTCTGGTGGTCTAAAGTAAACACAGTATTTCTTCTGACTGGAAAAAACCCAAGTGGTAAGATCAGAACATGTGACTGCTGGAGTCAAGAGATGGGGGGTATGCTGGGTTTAGTTCCAGTCCATAAAAATGTCTTGCATTTTAGTATCTTTTCCCTTTGGCATCTCGTTAGTCCTTTTTCAACCCCTCAAAGTGTGGCCCAAACCAGATGGCAGACCACAGAAGACAGGAAGAGGTGGCCGCAGATTGTTGTCTTACCTCTTGTGATTTTCCTACCTGGACACCGACAAATAAGTGTATCCACAAGTGGGTACACACTTCACTTCTGAAGGAGATGTGGGCTTCTGCAGAAACTTTTTGCTCTTTCTTCCCCCTTCCTTCCCAGAAAAAGGGAGAATTGGAAAATACAGATCCCAGGCTGGAAGTTAAAACAAGACAGATGTGCTCTTTTCTTCTATGTTTTCCCAGATGACTCCTGGAGGACTTTTTATTCTCATGTTAACTACCCACAGTGGCTTGAAAAGTTGTTAAGTGCTGTGAATTAACCATGTCCTGAGAGACATTCAGCATTTAGAAGCATTTGTAAAACATTCTTTTTAACTAGTGTACATCCTAATGCGTTGTCCCCTGACCTCAGGAAATGTTACAGACTCTGTCACCCCAAGCTCTCGACAGAGAATTATCTTCTGTTTTATCTTTGCAGTGCAGTTGGTGGCACATGCTCTTGGAGCTCCAGCCTAAGGCATTGAAGTGGGAGATTCTGCTCAGGTGTCACTCCGAGTGGCATCCTAACAAAACAGCATCTCTCAAATAACAGATAAACTTGGTCAGTGAATTCCTGTTTGCCACTGATGGCTGAAAACTGGCATCCCCATGCAGCACGGCCCAGCCAGCACTGTTCTGGCAGGATGCACAGCAGGCACCTGCTTCTCCTGCCTCCTTCAGGATGCAGCTGGCTGAGTCCAGTGATGGGGACCACCCCTGGGGGACTCCTGGGGGGACAGAGCGCTGTTACCCATGGCAGTAGATAGTGATGGAAAAGCTGCCCTTGAGCTCCTCGAACCAACCCTTGAGATGCTGGGATGTAGCTCGGGGGACTAACATTTGTGATAGAGGAGACACATGGCTACCCTATGGTCTGATCCTGGCCACACCTGGGGTGTCACACTCAGACGAAGAGGGTTTGGTAAAGGGGTCTTCTGAGGAAACCATTTGACCCTCTGTCTGACGACTGTTGATTGTATCTCATGTTCCATGGCATACAAGGAAAGGCTCAAGGAGCTGGGAC